GATGATAATGAGGAGGAGGACGACGGCGATGATGATGTTGATGGTGATGATGATGAGGATGATGATGCTGAGGATGATGATATTGGTGGCGGTGGTGATGATGCTGATGATGATGGTACGTATGCTGATGTCAACGATGATGATGATGTTGATGATGATGAGGATACTTATTATGATGCTGCTGCCAATGATGATATCGCTGTTGATGATACTGGTTGTGGTGGTGGGGCTGGTGCTGATGATGATGAGGACGACGACGGCGATGATGATGATGATGATGATGATGATGATGATGATGATGATGATGATGATGATGATGATGATGATGATGATGGCGCTGCTGATGATGCTGATGATGCTGATGATGATGCTGATGCTGATGATGGGGATGAGACGCGCGAGGAGGAGGATGAGGAGGAGAAGAAGGAGGAGGAGGAGGAGCACGACGAGTACGAGGAGGAAGGGAGGATGGAAGGAATGAAGGAGGAGGCGGAGGAGGATGATGATGATGAGGAGGAGGTGGAGGAGGGAACCACTGGCTCAAGCTCTGCTTGCCTCGTAGCTTCTCAGTTGTGGTAGCGACTCGGCTTCCAGCGCCCAGTCTCAGCATCGCAGCATCGCAGATAAAAAAGTCTCAGCATCGCAGTTTCAGCTCGTACCCAGCATCTGCGCGACTCTTACGCCCCCTGAGATCCTTCAACTCAGCGATCTGGCCTTTGAGCGTCTCCATGGCGACTGGAGAGGCGAGGATTACTGAACTGATGGATTTCGACGTCCTGGCATACCGAAATCCATCAGCTCAGTAATCCTCGCCTCCCCAGTCGCCATGGAGACGCTCAAGGGCCAGATCGCTGAGCTGAAGGATCTCAGGGGACGTAACTCTGCCCGTGCCGGCGGGGAGCTCTCCGTTCGTTTCTCCAGGAACCGATTTCTCGGTGCGGGGAAGTGTAAAGTCACCGTGCATGGTCCTTCAACAGCTTCGATTGCAGCTTCCATTGGCACTGGGCTGGCGGTTGCAGCATTAGGTCTTTTGTTTGCTTACGCGGTGAACGACAATTTCACCAGATCCGACCGTGGTCACAAAGCACTCGCCTGGCACCTCGGAGGTCTGCTTATGGATTCGGCCTCGACGCGCAGTCAATCCAAGCACGCTGAACGCAATGCAGGGGTCTTTGTCCCGGCACACGCCGATCCTCGTGAGCAAGACGCTCTCGAGGCACGTCATTCTACAAATGATGATGTATCAATGGACCCGCTACCCGCAGGCGTTGCATATATCTCACTGCCGAGGTCAAGTTCTCCACATGTCTCTACGAGGTGCTGTAGCAACGGAAGACGTCTGGAAGATTTCCATGGCCACAGTTCAGAAGGTGAAGGGGACATTGCCGGCTCCATTCGCGCCAACTTTGAATCATAGAGAAAAGGCGTTGCGTTTCTTGGAGCAGCTTGAGTCTGGCAGGAATGATCCCGTTGTTTTGCATATGCTCGACCAGTGTGACAGGTTTGTCGAGGACTGCATGCCTGAGAGCGGTGCAATCACCTCTGCGCACGGCGCCGCCTCTCATTCTGATATCGTTTCTGCCATTGATGATCTGACGGCCGGCGCGGAAACTATGTGTAGTGAGTTTTTTGTTGCACATTGATTCTTCGAAAGTTCTTTGATTTTTTTGGGGCCAAGATCTTTTCATTTCTAATTGTTCTATCATGGGCCTCTTCCTGGCCACTAGGGGGCCAGGAACAATTAGAAACGAGCACAATTAGAAATGAGCACTATTCGAAATGAATGACTTGTGCGTGCACCCGTGATAGATGTGGCGCATTTGCGTCCAATGGCAAGCCTGAGCAGGCGACATCGGCTAAGTCGGTTAGTGTTTCTAAGCGCGGCATGCTGCAGCAGGGGGGGTGGCGTAAGAAGAAGCGCTGAGGGAGATTGAGGTATAGAAAAAAATGAGGCGGAGGAAGAAGGTCGGCATCCCAGGTTGCTGGTTGGGCACTCACAGAGTGCCTTCGAATTGCGCCTAATAGAGGCGTGTGGCTCTTGTTCCGCAGGAGACGGAGGAGGAGGAGGAGGAGGGAGACAGGATGGCGGTGCTGCTGCTGCTGATGATGATTGTGGTGGCGGTGGTGGTGGTGGTGGTGGTGGTGGTGGTGGTGATGATGATGATGATGATGATGATGATGATGCCAAGGGCGAGGCAGCAGAGCAGGAGCAGGATGAGCAGGAGGAAGCGGCGGACGAGGAGGAGATTGAGAGGAGGAACGCATGCGCAGATAATGAAGCAAAATGACGAGGAGGAGGAAAGGAAAGGAAGGATGCGACGGAAGGGTCATCTCGTGCGATGTGGAGCGGGATGATAATGAGGAACATGAGGTGAATATGTAGCACGACGAAACGGAGGAGGCATATGCTGATTCTGATGAGGATGATGGTGATATTGAGATTAATGTTGCGGTGATGGTGGTGCTGATGAGTACTATGTTGATGAGGTTTGTGAGTGTGATGGTACGGGCGATTATGATGACGACGATTGTGTTGCCGGTGCTGATGCTGATGTCGATGCTGATGGCGATGTTTCTGATGCTGATGATTCTGATGGTGCTGATTATGATGATGAGGAGGAGGGAGGCATATAATACAACTGCTGATAATGATGGTGACGGACATGGTGATGATGATGAGGAGGATGAGGATGAGGAAGACGAGGAGGATGTGGGCGACATCTGTGATTCTGAAATTTGTGATGGCGATGATGGTGCTGCTGCTGATGATTATGATGCTGCTGATGATGATAGTGGTGATTACGATGATGACAATAATATGGTTATGACGGTGATGGTGAGACTGTTCATGATGATGTCGATGATGACGACGATGATGACGATGATGCTGATGAGGTTGATGGTGATGACGGTTGTGATGGTTGTGATGGTTGTGATGGTGGTGAAGATGCTCAGGTTACCATGATACTCGCGATGCTGATATTGACCATGATGATTATGATGCGGTGATGGTGATGACGAGGAGGATCATGAGCAGGAGGACGGAGAGGGAAAGGAGAGAGAGAGAGAGGGAATCTGTAATTGAGAAATGGGAGTACGCCCACGGAGGTGGATGATGATTTAGGAAAGGAGGATGAGATGGGAAGAGGACGGAATTTGATAAAGAGAGAGAGGGGGATGGGATAAAGGGAGGTAGGGGATGGGAGGAAGGGGATGCGGAGAGGAGGGGGGGAGGGTGAGTTTTCTTATTCCTGCGCAGGGGTGCCTTGAGAAATCAAGAATCCCATTCAGGACGTGGGTCAAACGCGTCGTCGGCAGTCGCGACTGGAGCCCTGGACTCCGTCTTTCTGTGCCAAGTCCTGAGCCGGATCGATCCGTGAGGGCGCGGGTGCCCGAACGTCCTGCGAGAACGCCAGGTGTGAGACCAGATCTCAGTGTACACGGCGGCCGCCAGTCGGAGTGGTCAGTGCCGCGTCTGTGCCTGCGTCAGGTCCAGCGAGCCTCGGGGAGCGGGCGGCGTGGTGGTGCCGTGGTGCTGTGGTGCCGCCCCAGGCTGGGGGCCTGGGGCGGCTGGAGTGTCCTCCTCCTCCTCCTCCTCCTCCTCCTCCTCCTCCTCCTCCTGCTGGGAGCCGTCCCTGAGATCCGGGCGCTGCAATTCTGTCCACGCCGGGCGTTTTCGCCAGGCTTCTGGCCCCAGGGCCATCACAGATCGATCTGGCTCGAAGGATGGGGTCCAGGGCTCGGGTCGTGGTCTTCCCGCGATGTTGCATGCTCTCCGCAGCGTCGGATCCCAGTGGCGTGGTCTGGCCAGACGGGGTGGTCCTGGGAGGAGTTGGGGTTTTGAGGCCACAGTGCTGCTGTCTGTCTGTCTCTTTGTCTTTGTCCTTGTCTGCGAGGGGGGTCGTGCAGTCAGGAGCGTTTGCTCAGCGTGTCGCGCCACCGGTGCTGGCGCACCGCGCTTCGGCGCGACGTGCTGAGCACGGGAGGAGGAGGAGGAGGAGGAGGAGGAGGAGGAGGAGGAGGAGGAGGAGGAGGAGTCACCACACGTCAACGTTCCCAGATTCTCCCAGCCTCCCGTCCTACGAAGCAGAGCGGCGTGCTGTCAGCTTGCGCAGCATGACGTGTCGCAGGTGCCTCCCCCCGCGACACGCTGAGCAAGAATTCCTGGCCGTGGTCGCATCCAAACTCGACTATGCAGGGCTCCCATACGCAGAGTGCCTGAGAGGGAAGCGGGCCACCCGACAGCGTTTAAGCATTCAATCCTATGTTTGACACGTCGAAGCCAGAGCGCAAATTTGACAGCCACCCATCTTCCGTCCGCGGGGCTGTTGAGAATTTGAAGATTTTGTGTTGCAGTGAGGAGGTTTTAGGCCAACGCGCCGATCCCGCAAGGCATCGCCCTCCATGTGTTTGAGCGGCGGGTTTCAAACGTCATGGTAGGTCGGAAGCCCAGAGCGTGGATTGTAAAGGTACCGCGCACCGTTCATGATTTCACCGGTTTTAAAGAGTTTTTAGGACCATCAGTTTCGAGGAAGTCCCAGGCAAGAGCTCGATTCTGAAAACGTGGCGCACTCCACCCGTGTAGCGGTTGAGAATTTCCAGTTCTAGTGCCATGCAGGAAGTACATTGGTAAGACGTCTTAGGCGGGACACGCCCTGCTCGCCCCACCGCCATGCTTGGTTACGTAGCTTGGAGGAGCTGTTCGCGAGGAAGCATGAAGAAAGAGGGGCGGGGAGGAAGAGGATGAGGTGGATGATGAGGACGAGTGAGAGGACATGGACGAATTGGAAGGGCGGGTGAGGATCCGCAGGATGAGGAGGAGGAGGAGGAGGAGGAGGAGGAGGAGGAGGAGGAGGAGGAGGAGGAGGAGGAGGGTCTCTTTGACCTATGCGCCTCAGCTTCTTGTGCAGGGCTGGGGTCGGTCGCAACCACCATCCGCTGCCATTTTTCTGGCTCAGGTCGCCTTGACAGAGGACTCGGCCGCCGTGAAATAATCGACCATGGTCGCCGTCGTGGAGATACAGCCGCCGGCATTGCCCGGGGCGGGATGGAGCTATGAGTTTGCCGGAGGAACTGTGGAAAGCCTACCAGAGTTCCCCAGGGGTGCCCAGCAGCAGACTCTGGAGAGCCTGCCAGAGTTCCCCGTCCAGAGGCATGTGCAGCAGGAGAGCTTCCCAGAGCTCCCCGGGTGGAGCTACCAGCAGGAGACGCAGGAGGAGCTCCCCGGCTGGAGCTACCAGCAGGAGACGCAGGAGAGCCTCCCGGACTACGACGACAGCGTGCCCGACGGCCGCGGGCCGACGCCCACGCCCTACGGCCTCCTGGCGCCGTGCGAGGTCGCGGGGATCGCTGACGCCGCCGGCGCCAAGCCGGGAGGCCCGGGGCTGGGTCGGGGGCAGCGGAAAGGGGGGGGAGGCATAGTTCAGAGCGTGAATTACCTACCCCGCTTTCGCTTCCAGGCAAAACCAAGGCATACCACGCGCCTCCTCGTCAGGCGGCCTGACCAGCACAGGCTGCAATGTGGCATCGTCTGGTGTCAACAGCGAGGGTGGTCAAAAGCGAGGCAGGTTTGTTTTCCCCCTAATCGTGGGGGGATGCATCGACGCCCAAGCGCCCACTGATCGCCGATAGGGGCCCGATAGCCCCCACCGGCCCAGGAAGGTGCGGGTTCTCTCTATATCGGAGGCCCATCGCCGGTCTCTGGGCGATGCATCGCCGACTCCAGGCCGAGGTTTCCCCCCCCCCTATGCCAGTCCGCCCCTATCGTTGGCCCTCATTTCACCACTCACCAAACCACCCCAACCCAACCCGAAGGCCTCAATTTACCCTCGATTTCCAGTGGGGGGGGGTCGGGAAACATCGAATAAACACATGTGGAGCCCTTACCCCCCCCAACCCGAAATTCTGGTCTTCGGGTTGTGTTGGGGTGGTCTGGTAGGTAGTTATCATTGGGGGAGTGGACATTTCCGATGCCTCGCAGCGACCGCTTTCGGTCCAGGGACCGTCCCGCCGGCCGCGTTGCAGCGCGGGAGGCGGGTTCGTCCAGGGACGGAGGGCGGACGCCTCGACGGCAGCATACGCTGAAAGAGCACAGTCTCTCTCGATGCTCGTTTTGGGGACCTTCCTGGGGCCCACCCAACGGATCTGTTCGACTCAGGTTCGACTCAAGTTCGACTGAGGTTCGACTCAGATTCGACTCAGATTCGACTCAGGTTCGACTCAGGTTCGACGCAGGTTCGACTCAGGTTCGACTCAGGTTCGACGCAACTTCGACGCACGAGTGGAACGAGTGGCTCCAGGAAGGTCCCCAGAATGAGCATGCAAGTCTCTCAAGGCGAGAGAACTGCGCCATCAAGACCGTCGTGTGGTGCATCACCAGGTCCGTCGCGGGGAGGTGTCCGCCTTGCCTCGGGGGCAACACATCAGAGACCTGCTCCCACTTTTCGGGGCCGAGCTTCGTGACTCAAATTTTGGGCGCGCGGGCATATCGGTCCCCCGGCTTTTCTTGAGAACCTCATCATCTGAACTGCCCCACTTCAAACGTGGCACATCCTCGCATATGTATGTCTGTGTCTGCGCATGCAGCCGATCAATGCAAAACGTGCACGCGCCTCCACATATTGATTGCATTTGTCGAAGAGCCTCCACATTTTGATTCCTTATGTGGATGGGGGCCGCCACATATTGACTCCATGTGTGGAGGAGCCTCCACATATTGATTCCATGGGTGGAGGAGCCTCCACATCTTGACTCCTTCTTTGTAGGGGGCCGGGGCCGCGACATATTGATTCCATGTGTGGAGGACCCTCCACATATTGATTCCTTTTTGTGGAGGAGCCTCCACATATTGATTCCTTATGTGGAGGGGCCTACACACATTGACTCCATGTGTGTAGGCAGAAGGTCTGTGCGTAGCCCGCCTAGCTTTTAGCGGAAGAGGTTCGCTCTCGCCCCGCAGATCAAAAAATTGTGTAGGCAGAAGGCTACTGGCCTCGTCCTCGTCATCCCTTCCTCCTCCCTTTTGGAGGATGAAGAAAGAAGGGGGGTGGGATCCTGATTGCACATTTTTTCATTGTATTCGTAGAATATTTGTATTGCGTGGGGAGGGATTGGGGGGAGAAGGAATCATTACTTTGTGTTCAGTGTATTCATATTGCGCTTTTTATTGTGCAGTGTAGTGCATTCATTCCCATTGTATTCCCGTTGGGCGAGGAGGAAGGGACGGGAGAAGAAACGCTTATTGTGAGACGATCGTGACCTCATTCATTGCATGTCAAGTGTATGCGTATTAGAGAAGGAGAGAAGGGGGACGGACATCTTATTGCATCCTTATTGCATTCATTATGTGATCATGTCGTCTTCCGGTCGGAGGAGAACAGGATGGGGAGAAGGATGTACTCGTTTTTTCTTAGGGTGTTCCTGTTGCGACCCGACTGTATTACTATGTGATGAGGAGGAAGGGAGGAGGGAAAGACTTCGTGTTGCATTGTTATGGCATTCGCATTGTAATCCTATTTGGGTTCTGATTGGAGGAGGATGAAGGGAAGTGACGAAGATGTTTTATTGAACGCTATTCATTCATGTGGCGTTCCTGTTGTATTCCTACTGGAGAAGGAGGAAGGGAGGGGAAGGAATTCGCATTGCATTATGATTGTGTTCACATTGTATCCTTACTGATTTTCGATTGAAAGGAGAAGGAAGCGAGCGGAGACGGCATTAATATTGTATGTGTCTTCTATGTGTAGCGCGTTTTTTTCCATTATATTCTTATTGGAGGAGGGGGGAGGGGGAAAGGGAGGGGGGAATGGATCCTCACTGCATTTTCGTAATGGATTCAAACTGTATGCTTTCTTGTCTTCTGATTGGAAGGAGAAGGAGGTGAGGGGAAACGGAACATCATTGCACGCTGACTACGTCCCCATTGCGTTTTCATTGTATTCCTATTTCAGGAGGAGGAAGGGAGAGGAGAGGAATCCTTATTGCGTTCTTACTGTAGTCATCTTGTGTTCCTTTTGTATTCCGATTGGGGGAGGAGGAAGCGAGGGGGGAGGCCTCGTCCTCCTCATCAGCATCCCCCCCTCCCCCTCCCCATTCCTCCCCCTCCTCCCCCTCCGTCTCCTCCTACTCCTACTCCTCCTACGAGCGGGCTCAAAGACAGAGGACAGAAGAGGAGGATGAGGAGATTGAAGCAGAAAAAGATGAGAAGGGGGAGTAAGGAGGGATGAGGAGGGAATGGGTGAGGCGACGTGGAGGGGACTTTCAATCAATTGGCTTTCAATCGATTGGTTTGTGATCGATTGGAGTGCAATCGATTTGATTGCAATTGATTGGCTTTCAATCCATTGGCTTGCGATCGATTGGATTGCAAGCGATTGGATAGCAATCTGTTGGACTGCAATCGATTGGACTGCAATCGACTGAGCTGCGACTGTCTGATTGACAAGAGGAGGAAAAATAGCAGGAGGAGGACGATAATGATGATGATGATGAGGAGGATGCCCTCCCAGTCCGTCGTTTGGGGGTGCTAGGGGCGGTGTATGGTCGCCCCTCCCCCCCAGCACCCCCAAGCCACAAAAATCACAAAACCTTCAGTGATCGTTCGCTCGTCGTCGTCATCCTCCTTCTCCTCCTTCTCCTCCTCTCCTTTCCTTCTCCTCGATCGCATTCAAAAACCAACGAAAACGCGAAAACCATAGAATCAACACATCAAAAACAAACAACACATGTGATTTCTGGAAACATTCTGGGGAGGGGGGACCGGCCAAGGTTCTCCAGAAATCATAGGGCCAAGGTTCTCCAGAAATCATTGGTTTTGTTGTTTTTTCAAATGATTGTGCTGTGTTTTCGCAAAGCCTCTGATCTTTCACAGGCGTCCGTGCGCGTTCGGAAAGGACGGGGAGGAGGAAGAGGAGCGGAGAAGAGAAGTAACTCGATGCCAGAGTCCTCTTTGTACGACGAGGGGAAAGCAGGGGGACCGACGTGCCCGCGCACCCCAATTTTTTTGGAGGGCTCTGCAGCCCACGGCGGATCCCCAGCAGGGGAAAGCAGGGGACCGACGTGCCCGCGCACCCCAAATTTTGGAGAGCTCTGCGGCCCACGGCGGATCCCCAGCAGTTTCTGCCCGGTGGAGTCCCCCTTCCCATCGGCTGGGAGGCCGGGAGTTCTCATCGCTCGCGGAGTCCATGGTGGGCGTATGTGGGGGCCCTGAGATCCGACGTCGCGAGAATTTGCAGCAGTGCAAGAAAACCAGTGAAACAAAACAAAACAAGAACATACAACATAAAAAGAACACAAACAAAAACAACAAAACAAATAAAACAAAACAAAACAATAAAAAGGGGGCCCCGGGCCCATCTTTCTGCGGCATCTCTCGGGCCAGATCTTGGCATCGCTCGGGCGTGTGCATTTTTCCTTCGGCGAGGACCATCGAGGAGCATCTTTAATCATTTGGCGAAAAAGCCGCGCACGAAACTGAAAAAAGCACAGGGCATGGACGTCCGAGCGATGGCCAGAGATCGATCTGTGAGGGTCCCAGGGCCCGAAGTTGGGCGACAACGCCCACTGTGAAAAAAAGTTGCAGCGCCAGGACCTCCAGGGGGGGGGGGGGAAGGGACCCCGGCGCCCGCTCGGCCGCCCTCCTGCAGCCACGAGGGACAAAATACACACGGACACAATTATTCGTCGAGTCCCCAGAAAATATGGGAACATATGGGGAGTGGGGGGGAAGACAAAAATCCAGAACATCTGGGACAATCAGGGGAACCCTGTCATCTGTGTCTATTCCTTGGTGTGCCCCAGGGCTCTTTCCTGCAGAGCTCTCTGCGTTCCTTTGGGGGCGAGCCTGCACGTTTGGGGGCGGGCCCCCGACCCCGCGGGCCGGGCCCTCTTCGGGGAGACGTGAGACTCGAGTGCGCTGGGACTCGGGTTTGCCCTGCCTGCGCTTTCGATGCTCGTTTTGGGGACCTTCCTGGGGGCCACCTAATGGATCTATTCGACTCAGGTTCGACTCAAGTTCGACTCAGGTTCGACTCAGGTTCGACTCAGGTTCGACTCAGGTTCGACTCAGGTTCGACTCAGGTTCGACTCAGGTTCGACGCAGCTTCGACGCACGAGTGGAGCGAGTGGCTCCAGGAAGGTCCCCAGAATGAGCATCTATTGCGCTTTCTGACGAGCGCGTCCTGGATTTTGGCGGTCCAGCTTTCGTGGGGGGTCTGCAGCGGGAGCTCGCGTCAGATTTCAGACGGGGTCGCGTCGCTCTCAGGATGGCCCCGTCAGGCCAACCCGATCCGAGGCCCGAAAACCATCACGTCACTGATTTTGGGCCCCAGGGCCCACTGAGGCCCCGGGGGCACCAGATTCGTGAAGTGATGTTTTTTTGCCCCCCGTAAGGACCCCGAAGTTCCTCACTGCACGAAGCCGAGCCCAGGACGAGAGTCAGGGGCCGCCTTGCTGCTGTGATGCAGCACAGGTCTCGTACCTCACCACCCACCAGACCACCCCAACCCAACCCGAAGGCTCAGATTTACCCTCGATTTCCAGTGGGGGGGGGGGGTCGGGAAACATCGAAAAAACACATGTGGAACCCTTACCCCCCCCAACCCGAAATTCGGGTCTTCGGGTTGGGTTGGGGTGGTCTGGTAGGTAGTCAGCACCCGAGTCCCCCGAACCCCAGTCCTACGCCTCCCCGATCTCTCTCGGGCCCACACCTGCTCGGGCGAGGGCGCGCCCCGAGCACAGGGCCCCGGCTGCTCCTCCTCCCCCAATTGGTGGGCATGGTGGGCCAATCTTCCACCACCACTGCCATGGGAAGGACGGGGGAGATCTCCTCCTCCTCCTCCTCCTCCTCCTCCTCGTCCTCCTCCTCCCTCTCCCCTCTCCTCCTTCTCCTCCTCCTCCTCCTCCTCCTCCTCCTCCTCCTCCTCCCTCTCCTATCTATGGTGGTGGTGGGAAATCGGCCCATCCCCCCCCCCCACAGCAGTGGGGAAACGGGCAGGGGGCATAGAATGACAGCAGCATCCTCAGAGGAGGGAAACATACCGATGCTGCTGCCCTTTCCTCGGTTTCGCCCGTTCGAAGCTCCTGGGAGGCCCTCGTCGCCACGGCTGGATTCGCCTCGAAGATCTGGTGGTCGAACCGCAGCCTGGGAGCGGTCCGGAGAGAAGAGTTAGCGGTATTTGCATCTGTCGGTTATCCCGCCATTCCGACAGGTAGTCCAGCATGTTCCTTGCTTCAGTGGGCTGGGCAAGCGTCCCGCGGCGTGCAGCGCTGGGACCCGAGCCAGTACGTGCTGGTGGAGAAGCTGCAGGACTGGGAAACAAGAGCGGCCTGGCAGAGTATGGGGCACGGTTCTGTGCAGCTTCGCGAGAGAAGATCTCAGTGTATGGACCCAAAACAGCAATGCCGAATACAGACATGCATACAGCCGAGGTTGGGTAGTAGGGCGACCTTGCCAACTCAAGAGCACCATTGTGTCCTGCATTCCGCGGCCCATGCCTTCGGCATTCCCGTGGCAATGTGGCCCTCGGAGGGGTCTTGTGTCCTGTGTCCTCTCGCGTGTCCTCTCCAGTCGACCCCGACCGTACCCGCGCTGGCCGAAACTTGGGCAGATCCCCACCGTGTACGCCGCGGTCGGCGTTTCCGGGGGGCGCAGGGGTTGCGGTCAGACATGGGGCCCTGGAGGGGCCCCTAAGCCCTCGTGTTCGCGTCTTCCGGCCTCTGCGAACGATGTGACGCCCCTATGCTATACGTGCTCGCACAGGCATGCACACGTTGGTTTGTATAGATGCGCTCCCATGATGACCGAGTGTACCTCTTCCTAAGTGTATGCTCTTCTTGTCTCTCTCTCTCTCTCGCCCGTTCACTGCATATATATACACATGCTTACCTGTACACACCGTATTCGAGACGCTTCGCGTTCACCATCCACCCATTCCAGTTGTCGACAGAAGAGGCGATGTCGTCTTCAAGACGGGATGATGATGAGGAGGAGGAGGAGGAAGAAGAAAAGGGGGGGCGGAGGAGGAGGAGGAGGAGGAGGAGGAGGAGGGAGGAGGAGGAGGAGGAGGAGAGGAGGAGGAGGAGGGAGGGGAGGAGGAGGAGAAAGAGGAGGAGGAGGTAGGAGGAGGAGGAGGAGGAGGAGGAGGAGGAGGAGTAGGAGGAGGAGGAGGAGGAGTGAGGAGGAGGAGGAGGAGGAGGAGGAGGAGGAGGAGGAGGAGGAGGAAGGAGGAGGAGGAGGAGGAGGAGGAGGTGGAGGAGGAGGAGGAGGGAGGAGGAGGAGGAGAGGAGGAGGAGGAAGGAGAGGAGGAGGGGGAGAGGAGGAGGAGGAGGAGGAGGAGGAGGAGGAGGAGGAGGAGGAGGAGGAGGAGGAGTAGGAGGAGGAGGGAGGAGAGGAGGAGGAGGAGGAGGAGGAGGAGGAGGAGGAGGAGAGGGGGCGGATGAGGAGGAGTATACAGGATCGAGGAGGAGGATCCCGGATCGAGGAGGAGGAGGATCCAGGATTGAGGATGATCCAGGATCGAGGAGGAGGAGGAGGGTCCAGGATCGAGGAGGATCCCGGATCGAAGAGGAGGAGGATCTACGATCGAGGAGGGAGGAGGAGGATGAGGAGGAGGAGGACCAGTGTAAACTCAAGACTCATCAACGATGTTGGAATACACCCTCACTCCGAGCTCCCTCTACACAGGTCCCGACAAGGGTCCCGTTTGGGGACAACCGTGTGCAAATCCTGAAGCGTGCCAAAACACCGTTCTCAGGATTGCAACACCACGAGTTAACCTGACTGTTATGTCTTGGTGATCCTGAGTCGTGCCAAAACACCACTCCTGGGAATACAACATCGCGAATCAACATACGTAACTGTCGCGCCTGGCAATCCTGAACCGTTCCAAAGCATTGCCTCTAGTTCGCTAACCACCGGGATCAGTTTTTTCTTTGTTTGCAACTGTTTGAAACGAATGTGCGCGGCGCTGAGGCGAGAACAACTGTTCTAAAAGGAACGGCCCTCAATTCGTGAAGCTCTTGTCAATTTCCAGAACGCGTGTGCGCAGCGTTGAGGCGAGAGCCACATTTTGAAGACTTCCCGCCCTCAACCCGTGAAGCTCTTGCAAATATGTAAAACGAAGGTTCGCGGCACTGAGGCGAGAACCACATTTTGAAAACCGCTCGCCCTCAACCCTTGAACCTCTAGCAACTTAAAAAACGAATGAACGGGAGTGGCGCTTAGGCGAGAGCTGCATTTCGAAAGCGACCCGCCCTCAATCCGTGAATCTCTTGCATTGTGTTGAAGCGAATGCGCGCGGCGCTCAGGCGAGAGCCAGGGTCCAGGATCCAGGATCGAGGAGGAGGAGGAGGAGGAGGAAAATTAGGAGGAGGAGGAGGAGGAGGAGGAGGAGGAGGAGGAGGAGGAGGAGGAGGAGGAGGAGGATGAGGAGGAGGAGGAGGAGGAGAATTAGGAGGAGGAGGAGGAGGAGGAGGGCCCCCCAGTGGTGGCTGGGCGATCGCGCCGCGCCTCGGACTGCCGCCCCGAGGACGCGGAGACGAACCAGGGCGTCGTCGAGTTGATGCAGGCGCTCCAGTTCGGCGGTATGAGGCGGGGGCGGGGAGCATGTGCTCGGTCGAGTGCTCCTGCTCTGCCTCCTGCCCCTCCTCCCTCTCCCTCTCCTCCCCCTCCCTCCTCCCACCTCCTCCTGCTCCTCCCTCCTCCACCTCCTTCCCCTCCTCTTCCTCTTTCCTCCTCCTTCTCCTCTCCCTTTCTCCTTATCCTTGTCCCCTCTCCTTCTCGTCGTCGTCGTCGTCCTCCTCCTCCTCCTATCCGTTCCCTCCTCTTCTTCCTCCTCCCTCGCCCCTCTTCATCCTCCTTCTCACCTTCCCTTCCCTTCCCTTCCTCTTCCTGCCCCCCTCCTCCTCCTGCTCCTCCTCCTCCTCCTCCTCCTCCTCCTCCTCCATTCCTATTCCTTCTGAATAACTTCTCCTTGTCGCACCCCGAGGCCAGGTTTTAGGGCGGGCCGGGCGTTTCGCAAGAAACGTCATCACCATTTATGACCCTGAAGCCTAGACGTTGACAACAGTTCACAGATGGAGGGCGGGTCGTTTTCAACATGTGGCTCTCACCTAGCGCCGCGCACATATTCAGGATTATGAGGGTGCGGCGGTTACGATGATTCGTGGTGTTGAAGTCCCAGGAATGGCGTGCTGGCAAGATTCAGGATCGTCAAGGCGCAACAGTTAGGTTGATCCGTGGCATTGGAATCCAGAGAACAATGTTTTGGCATGCCTCAGGGTCTTCAAGCGGTTGTCTTCCAACGAGGCAGATCCCTCAGTGGAAATGAACCGTTGTAGGTGTCTATGAAGGGCAGCTTGGAGGGAGGGCTTATTGCAACATCGCTGATGACTTACACTGGTCCTCCTCCTCCTCCTCCGTTCCCTTCCTTTGCCTTCGCTTTCCCTCCTCCACCTCCTCCGCCATTTCTCTTCGCTTCCCTTCCCTCCCCTTCCCCTCCCTTCCTTTCCCCTCTGCCTCCCGTTCTCGCATGAAAGTTCAGGCCCGAAGCGTGTTCAATTCAACATGCAAGATGTGATATGGGTGAGTGGACATACACCACGACCACGTGCGTCTCTGGCACAGGCCTGGCAGAGGTCGAAGTTATCGAGGACGCCTACGGCGAATCACCGCCGTCCCCTGCCTTTTGGCATCGCCCATGTGGCCGAGCGTTGTGGCAAGATCTCTGCTACGCCATCGGACCATGTGTTCTCCCAGCCGTTATGGAAACCCTTCGGGGAACTCTTGGGGGAGGATGGCGGGAAGATCAGGAGGAGGGAGGGGACGAAGATGATGATGATGATGATGATGACGACGACGACGACGAGGAGGGGAGCGACACATTTTAATATTCATATTAAAATACGAAGACGACGACCGCGACGACGACGACGGCGACGACGACGACGGCGACGACGACTACTGCTACTAGCAATGTTAATGTTAGTCGCGCTAACAAGAACATTGATACGAGTTGTACGAAACTGCGAATACTGCAACTTTTTAAAAGCATAACAAACATACCGCTCTCATTCGTCTGAATCGTACCACGCGCATTCTGAAGACATGAACCATACTAGTAATACGATCACGAGCAGGCATGACCCAACACGAATACTATAACAACAGAACAGTGATGCGCATATTACGGATACTAGGAACACTGTTACGACGACACATGTTCGTAGTATTGAAATATCACGAAGACCAATGATCTGAAATACGAATAATACGAATATTATGACTCGGACGACGGCGACGACTACTACTACTACTTCTACTACTACTACTACAACAACAACTACTACTACTATTACCACTACCTATACTACTACTGCTACTACTACTACTGCTACTGCTACTACTACTACTACTACTACTACTGCTACTGCTACTACTACTGCGACTACTACTACTACTACTACTACTACTACTACTACTACTACTACTACTTTACTATTATTAATATTATGATGGTTGTTTCTACGACTA